TGATAACTAGCTTTGTAACACAATTTTTAGAGTGGTGATGTGCTGGTGAATGCTTTAGCCATTTTGGCATTCGTATCACCCGGAGCTGAACGTCCAAATGTGGATTGGGATCCATTAGCCATTTGGCTATATGAGCAACAACTACAAGATGGAACTTTCGAGAACGCCATTGTGAGTTTGGTTTTCCACTTGCTTTTTTTTGTAGCCCATTACGTTCAATCTTAGTAAAACAGTTGCCCATCTAATTTTCACTAGTAAGGGCTACTAATACACCACTACTTCTATTTAGTGCTATTTCTGTATTCTTCTGCTGAGCTCAAACAAGCACCTGGGGTAATTTGTACTAATTTATTTTATTTTGCAAAGTGTTAAACGCTTCTCTACCTAACTAGCAATTATCGGTAGGAATGAAACTGTTGCCGCCTCGCGACTTTGTCTATAGACACGCCCACTTGAGGCTGCAGAAACATCCAATCCTAGAAGATACCTCAAACCCCATCCTCATAGAATCGGGTGCTATTGCATTGCACTATTTCAGGACACATACTTTGCCGCACGAGCACTTTTTGAGTACCGCTATCGAAAGATCGATGTCAACAAGTCAAACGATCTTAGCGTCACAATAAGCTGTTCAACGTGTGATACATATAAAGTGAATATCACAGGGTCGGCGACTGAAATCCATGTAAGCTTGACACTTTATTTTACTGCTTACTTTATAAGTCAACCCGAAAGGAGCACTGTAATTTGTGTAGTTTTTGTGAACGAAAATGTCGAGGTGGTCCTTGAAATATCAGTTAATTTCTGTATTCTGGACATAAGAATCACTGAATCTGTTCATCTAAGGGGTAGTGCTCGCGGCACTGCTTGTGGACGGGTGGTAGCTGCTGTCGTTTTTGCTGCAGACACTTGGATGTGTCAGGGTGCTGCTGAGTATGGCGTGGCTCCAGCCCGGTCTTCACTAAACGTAGAGGTGGGCAAGCGACCGCCAAATCTATACACTAGTTCGCGGCGGATGAAGGGGCGTGTCAGCCAGAATGAGTGTGCCACCAAACCGTTCTCTGTCAGTTGTTGAAGCGGGTATGCGACATCAATGGTAGAAAACGAGTGATACAAACGATTTGATACTGTCTTGCCACTTTCGCTTCAACAACTGAGAAACGGTCCGGCACGCGCCAAATATATGCGGTCTGACATCTCCTACCTCTTTCAGCCCTTTTATCCGCAGCGACTAGTACCGGTAACGTCCTGCGCTTCTGTGTCGGAAACGACTAATAGCGTGGTAGCCTTGCCGATGGCAGGCCTGCATAGCATTCAAACTGGCCCTCTAAGGGGGGGGCAACCAAAAAAGTCACTTTCTTTCTTACGCTTGACATTTTCGGGCCGCTATAAGTTTAGATCTTCATTAAATTCGAGCCGGACATTTCTACCACCATGCTTGAAAGAGTATATTTTATACTATGCATGGATGCGATCCTAGACCGTGGCGACGTTGTCGGAGCTGCTCGATGTTGGAGGTCTTCCAGATCGAGAGTACTGGTCTCCAGGTAGCTATCCATGGGTGACTCCATACCAGAAGTTTCGCAGCTGTTTGGAGGTGACGTGAATTTCAAAGGTCTTCTCCAGTCAGACTGCTACTGGAGATGACTTCATATTTTGGTGTACATGAAGGTGATGGGCGAGAGCCAGCTCCTGCTTATCGAGGAACATCTTGGGTATCTTCCGCCCTGGTACTCGTATCCACGTCCTCTGTCTGGGCTGCGAAAACTTTGCTGATATGTGACTCGGTCGAAGTGACTTTTTTTTGCCCCCCTGTATGTTCCTTGCCCCGAAAGCTACATTATATACGACTAAAGGCTGAGGCTGGCACTTTCAACGGTGTTCAACAACGGCTACGTGAACACGGGAATCAACATAATTATGGGAATGAGTAAGCCATTGGCAGTTGTGTAGATTTCGATGAGAAATTCCAGGGATAGAGATAGAGGTACGAGGGAGGAGTCAAGCTATCTTTCACTTGTTGCTGGTCGTTTGAGTTCCCTCCACCAGATGTGCATTGGCTCACAAGGTATAGTCCGCGCTAGTCGCATTGACGGAGACATGGGAGCCGGCAGACCATTAGGCAGCGTTCAGACTTCGCGACGGCAGCGCTTCGGTCGCGCGTTTGACGCGATCGATGCAGTCGAAAGCATGCGCATCGATCGTCGAATCAATCATTCGCGACTGAAGCGCTGCCGTCGCGAAGTCTGAACGCTGCCTCCCGTTTTCCTCATTAGTGCACTTTTATTTCGAGACGGTGTGGAGGAGGGACGCATAACAATTGATTGTCTTCAGTCTGCGTAGGTTTGAGCTAACAGACCCCTTTGGGGTTTAGATGGTGAGCATGATTCTAAAATCCACAAAGAAGTGATTCTATCCATGAGCTACTTTTTTTGCTGGCAGAATTTCATGTTCTCTCACTTACGATGATCACAATCAGCTACCGACACACGTTCGAAACTTGACGATGAAAACCAGAGGACATGGCAAAGCTAATGTTGGATTCCGAATATTGGCACGAAAACGTCAACGATCAAGGCGCGGGCTTACGCAAGATGACTACTATCCTCTCAGGCTGACTGTACTTCAAGAGCAGGTCTCACGAGGAATACTTCATCAGACTGTATGTCTAAGGTGAGTGGAGTTGACGACGTTTTGCTATAATGCAAGACTTTTTTACTTTAGGGCATTGTCCTCGTTTATAGCGACTGTCGAAATCACACATGGGCTCTATACTGGCTTCTCCACATCCCTTGATAATATTGCGATACTTCCGGTGAGTCCTCATGAACGACATTTCCAAAGGAATTTGAGAGTGACAAATTTCGACTAAACCCTGGTCGTTTGGGCTAAATCACCTTAGACTAGTGTGCCTTCCTTATTGGATGGGTTCGTGCTCCTCGCCATCTGAAAGTTATGGACCAAGCAATAAGAAAGGGACACAGTCAGGCCACCTACAACCAACGCAGAATGTACTAGTAACAGGTCAAAAATTGTTCGTTGTTGGTTCAGACCAAGAAGCACATCGAGACTATCAGAAGAAGGGAATTTGCCTGTTCCAAGGTTTTTCATCAGTGGGAGGCGGAGGTGGCAAGTGACCCGCTTACCATGCTCGCGTTCTTCAGCCCAGACAGGACTGAAACTGGCATGTTCCGCTAACTGGGCGAGTGCGCTATCCATTACGCCACCAGGACGGCTCTTACCCTCTCACCTCCAGCAAAGGGTGAGAACAACTTTTCGGGTCCCGCCTGAGGTCTGACTTTTTCCTATGACTCAAGCTTCTCGTATTAA